GGAGGGGGGGGGGGGGGCATCACCGGCATCTAGTCAGCCGGAAAGCTGCGCTGCTGCTCGGCAGAAGCAGCAGCGCAGGAAAAAAAATACCTTCAGGCTTTCGAGATGTGCACAAGGCGACAGCCAAAAAAGAAACCCCGCTACTCGTTCGCGGACATTCGTCGGGCACCCTGTCAAAGAATTCGCCTCAAACTCAATATGGTACTTCAACGAAGGATGAATAAGCAGACAGCTGTTTTCATTTTGGGATGGACGAAAATCAATCCGCAATAAACAACAACCAAGACCGCAGGTCGTGTGCCCAAAAACAAGCTCATGGTGGTATGTATATACACGGCAGTCGCTATGTACTCTCCCTCTCACCTTTCATGATGACGACGTACTTCGCCACGATGTTCCCGTCCAGGTTCCCCTGCACGATCACGGCGTCGCAGTTCTCGACGTCCGCAGTCATCACCACGGACTTGCCTACCACGAGCACCCGCTTTGTGCCAGCCGGGACTATCGAGGGTGGCCCCGCAGGCTTGGGCTTCGGCGCCTGGGCTTTCTTCACGGGTGCCGCTGGCTTGGGCTCTGGCACTACCACCGCCGCCGCCGCCGCGGCCGCGGCCGCCGCCGCCGCCGCCGCCGCCGGCTCGGGAGAGGAGGAAGTCGTGGTCGGTGTAGAGTCCTTCGACGCTCGGAACGACGACTTTTTCTTGAACATGATGATGAGCTCGCTGCTGCTCTGCTGCTGTTGCTTTGCTGCTCGAGCTCCTTCTGCAACGAGCGGTCGATGGGTTTGTTGCTGCTGCGTTACCTATTGCTGCTTCGCCTACCACTGCTGCTGCTGCTGCCGCCGCCGTCGAGTTGACTGAACAAGATGCTTCCGCACTCTTGTTTGCTGCTGCTGCGGCTGCTGCTGCTGAGAGAAACACGGGGGTACTGGGAAGGGGGGCGGGGCCTGTTGTGGTGTTGTTGTGTTTTTGACTGCAGAACTCGCGCGTGTTTTGAGTGTCCCGGAAAAAAACGCACCTCAAGAGAAGGTCGACATATAGAACAGTTAGAAGGGTCGGCGTACCTGCACCGTGTATGATGGTGGTCCAGCGATCTGCTGCCTGGGCGTGTGGGTTCGTGTTCGTCTGTGTTGATCCAAAGAGAAGCGCAGGCAAGAAATTATTGTTCAGAGGCTCCGTGTTTCATTAGCTTTGGCCACCCCCACCTTTGGTTCCGCTCTCTGTTTCCCTTTTTGTTTCGCATTTTTCGCATCTTTCTGCCCTGATCAACCACACCCGTTTCTGCTGCACCATCTCTCTCGGCGCCTTCCCCCCTCTTCCGCCGCCCCGTGGACCCACGTGTACACGTCGCACACACGCACCCCGAGCTCTTGCAGCCGTTTCACGCTCGGTCGGTACAAGACACCTAAGGTGGGTGGTGGACAGCAAGAAGCGAGGGTTTTTGTCGCGGACCCCGTCTTCATCCCTCTCTTCACCGTTTGTCTCCATCTATCTACTGCTGCCTCTAATGGCCTGGCTCTTCGATCACCACCCACGGAACAGACACGTCACGAGCAGCAGGAGTAGAAGCAGAACCCCCACCACCACCACCACCACCACCGTGTCAAGTGCTTCTTCTTCCGTTGGTCTTTGTTGGTGTGGCCACCACGCTTGTTCGGCCCTCATCTCTTCTCGACGAACTCGAGAAATTATTTCACACGGAAGCAACAGAGACAGACCCCCCGCGTGTCCGCACCCCCTGGAACTACGCCCGTCCCCCGTTTCAAACAGGATCGACAAGACAATGGCTACGCCAACGACTGCCGGACGCGTGATTATCGGCCAGGGTATCACAGTGAAGGGCGACATCAAGAACTGCGAAGAAGTGATCGTGCGCGGCTTCTTCGATGCGGGAAACGTAGAGGCAAAGAGCGTGGTTGTCGAGGCCGACGGTGAGAGTGCTTGCTGCGGCTGAGAGAAATGAGCAAGTGGTACAATATTCCGGAGGGGTTCGAGGAGCATGTTGCATACGGTGCACATGCATTTCAGTAGAAGAAAGATACCCCAACGTGCTGGACGACCGGTATCCTCGTGAATGCTTAGTGGGCCTGCTTGCTGGCGCGGAAGCCGGAGCAGAGTGTGCGTCGTGTCTTGTTGCATGCAGACGGGTGAATAGGCCTAGCGCCTTGAGGGGGAGAAGAATTGGGGTTTTGACGTTGACGAATTTTGAAAACAAATGCAACAAGCGGTCGAGAAAATTGTACGACAGACACACGAGACCAGTCGGGCATCGCGAAAAATAGAAATCGTTGATTCTTGCACAGGGCGGCAGTAGAGGCTGCTTAAACCAGACATTTCACGCGTCTATCTCCACAGGACTCCTCTGAAGTCAACATAAAATTCACACAATTCTAAATTCAAGTCAAAGGAGCCAACACGGAAGGCGCTAAAATATGGTGAGTTGTCAGGGTGAGGCTAGGCTTCTACTTTCATCAGTAGAGACACCATGATGTCGTGCGTGCTGGCACGTTCAGGCTTGCTACTGGAGCGGAAATATCGAAGGTCGAAGCAGCATTCGAAAACAGTACGAGATCTGCGCCGGAACCAAGCGGCGTCCAACATTTTGTCACAGCCATGTTCGCCGCCACCGAACCCAATCTCCCCATGGGTTGACAGCAATAGCTGATCTGCTGGCACCCTTCGTTCAGGCGTTTACGGTCCGTATGACGAAAGAATGCCTAACCTAACCCTGACGGGAAGGTTGTTTTCTCTCTTTGTATAGGATTAACGTATGGGGAAAAGAGCCAGCGTCAAAACCCCTGTTCTTTCCCCCCTTAACGGCGCGCTCATCTCGCGTGTGTCATGTGTGACTTGTGTATTCAGTGTGCACCTCAGTTCAACAGAGCCGTCAAAGCTCTCTGCGGAAGATGGAGTAGCGGTCACCCCACCGCCGCCCTTTCACTTCCATAACAAGATTGTCAGCCAGCTGGTTTTCTTCCCACTCAGTCCAACAAGCCAAGCTATGCACATGCCATCCCTTCGACTACTCTGTCATTTTCGAGCAGGTGGTCTTCCTCCGGTGGTTTGTTCGTACATTTTCTAGCGTAAACAGAGAGAGCACCGCTCGTGCGGTAGACGGCCATCGCCGACGCCATCTCTTTTTACGCGTGCCTTGCACCTGTGGTGAGGCATGCTGTTGACAATCTCCTTCGGGGGTGGATGCCCGCGAGAGCGAAACGAAATATCACCTTCAGGGCATATCACCTTCAGGGCATGGCTTTCGACGCCAGGAGACTCTCGGGGGATATGTACAATTCCAGCTCTGTCTTGTTCAATTGGTTGACTGATGGTTGATATGTTTAACGATGTGATGTCGCGATCTCACCATGAGGGAATCTCATCAGCACGGCCCGCGACCAAGACACCATATGTGCCAAACAGATGCTTTTATTCGAGTGAAATCTTCGACGCTGTGTGCTCCACAGCTCTGAGGTACCTTGCCACCAACCGAGATGGGGTTTGAGTGGAGCGTTCGTTGTGGGCGTTTTGTGAGAGAGGACGAGACGTTTTTGAGCTGGAATGCATATACATGTGCACGCACCCAGACAGGGTGTGCGCACGCAGCACCGCACGCAGCCCCTCCCAAACGCTCGTCGCTCTCTCGCAGTGCATCCCGCCAATCTCCAAGCCAGAGCCAACAAGGCACAAGGCAGCAAGATGCCCTAGGATTTGTTGTGGATTAAGCTGCACTACATCGTTTCTCGTGTACATTTTACAGCGCCACAAATACTCCAACCTTGTGTTTACGAAGGCTAGTTTTTTTTTAACGTTTGGAACAGGAGGTCGAGCGCTGTGCACAGGTTTGTTTTTCTTCTTTGGAAGCGCTGTTGATCAACTATATGTAGCAGTTTGTCCAAGCTTTGACCGAAAAGGCGGAGACAGGTTTTTAGAAGTCCGAATTTCCGTCCCTGACACTGGAGGCGATGCGTTTTGTTCGTTTCGCTCTTCGGCGGGTGCGAGCGCGTGCCACCGCCCACTGCTGTAGCGCACTTGTGGGGCCGAATGCTGCGAACAACGTTCTGACCCCCCAAGGTTTGCTTCGATGGGTTGTGACGCCACTAGCCACAAAAGTAGAAGGATGGGACGAGATATGTTAACCCTTGTTGCGAACAACGTTCTGGCCCTCAATATTTGCTTTGCGTTGTGACGCCACAAATCAACAAGGATGGGACGAAATTCGTGAACCCTCCCCCCTCGGAGGAAACCTTGACAAGAAGTCCGTTTTCGACAATCATTTCCACTCAGGAACCTTCAATCTTGGGCCGTTTTCATGCGTCGGCGGGGGGATCACGGTCGTGGGTAGGGAATTGAAAAAGGTGTCACCCCACTCTTTTTCGTTGTCGCGCAACCCCATTTGCGCGTCGTTTTCTTTTTGGGCGTGTCGGTCGAGATGCGTGGCTGCTCCAATGCCCGTGCTACCTTCGTATCGCGGGGAACAAACAACGTTGCAAGTTGTGCTCATGTGATGGATACAAACCGAGAATCCGTTGGCCGTCTGGTCTTTGTTCCTTTTGGTTCTTCCAGGAGTCCTTACCGGAGCGACCAAGGCCCAGAACGCTAAGATCGCGGGCAAGTTCGACGGCCACCTCCGCCTGACGGAGGGGCTCAACGTTACGAGCAGCGGCGAGGCCAAGGGGGTGAGGTTGCTGTATGCATAGTTTGCGACGGTACATGCGCAAGGCCGCGAACCACGGTATGTGGCCTCCCTGCCCGCAACTGAGGTACTGTTTTGCATTGTTTGCGACGGTACATGCGCAAGGCCGCGAACCACGGTATATGGCCTGCCTGCCCGCAACTGAGGTACTGTTTTGCATTGTTTGCGACGGTACATGCGCAAGGCCGCGAACCACGGTATATGGCCTGCCTGCCCGCAACTGAGGTACTGTTTTGCATTGTTTGCGACGGTACATGCGCAAGGCCGCGAACCACGGTATATGGCCTGCCTGCCCGCAACTGAGGTACTGTTTTGCATTGTTTGCGACGGTACATGCGCAAGGCCGCGAACCACGGTGTGTTGCCTACCTGCCCGCACCGCTGTCGTCATTTTTCTGTGCTGCTCTGCGCAAGGCAGGTGCAAGCTGGGTGGACAATGACGTCCCTCCCCCTTTCGCTCCTCCGTCTGCCCCTCGTCTCACAATCTCTCTCATTTGGTGTTGTCGCAGACGATCCGATACCGGGGTATCCAGGTTGAGAACGGCGGGAAGCTGTTCGGAGACATCCAGTTCGCAACAGAAGAAGAGGATTCTTGATTCCGGCCGTACATATGAAGAATGAACCAATAATTATCGGGAAGCGAACACCGAAGTAGGAGCTGGGCATGATGTAGACTGGGTGCTATCTCGTGCCCTGGAGGAAAGACGGTTGGGGGGAGGGGCGGGTTGGGTGGGCGGTGGGGATCCACGTAACTTGACGAATCGGTGGTAGGAGTTACATGTAGGATTCCCTTCGCCTTTTCTTTTGGCGATTGAATCGCGCTCTCGTGGTGGTGGCAAGCAACTTCCTTGTTGTCAAGCAACCTCCTTCCTGTGTCGGCGCGCCTGCCAGCTGTTTGTATTGTAGCGACGCGCCTGGGGGACCGGGATGTAAGTTTGTTTCCCTTGAATATGTAGCAGCAGTTAGATTAGTTAAATGCACCGATAGGCCCCCTTCTCCCGGCACCAAGATGGCAGACGCACACCACTGTTGTCGTTTCTTGCCCGTGTGGGAGGCGAGAGGCGGCATGGTTGTTGTTTGAGATGAGTCACGTCGTGAAGGCCTTTCGGGTCCAGGAGCATTCACCGCTGTGTTGTTTGCCGTCGTCGGGCTATGATAATAAATGTGCGGACGGCATTTTTTGGCTAGAGTGATTCCCCGTTTTCTGTGTTGTGCCAAGCAATGGCGCGTTCATCCTTATGTACTCCTCTCTCCTCTCGTTCACGACGAAGCTCCCGCCGTGTCATTCCTGTAGCTGTCCTTGTATGGAGATATGGAGATGCCCACCTTGGGGCTACGGTGGGCGTTTCTTGGATTGCTTTCCCTTCCGGGGGGCGCTGGCTGCTCTCTGCCAGAAACGTGTCCGTGTGCAGATTTTTTCCCGCCTTGTTTTTCCGAGTCCTGGAAATGCGAATGGACTCCCGCCCCTAGGTTAAGAGTGGTTAAGAGTGGTGAGTGTAGATGACGATCTCTCCCTTTTGCCTGGTGCATGAGCGCCTCACCCACTGTTTTGTCCCTCGGTCCCCTAAAAGTTGTGCCACTGTTGGTACCCGCGTGCAGTGGAGTTGTTGATTCTTTCGGTTGAGATGAAAACCGTCGAAAAGTACCGCAGTTCCCTGTAGATTGTCCTCGAGTTGGTTATTTGCCCTTTAGCGTCGTATTTCGTGTTTCCCCGCACCAGACAAATCGCGTTCCAGGTAGTAGGAATCCGGCAGAGGAACTTACGAAGTGGTGAGCTAGTCTGAGTGCTTGCCGCGGCGTTAAGGCCGATTCACTGCGTCAAAGGTGCCATACCATGGGGGACGGGTATCGCCCTGTATCCAAGATTTGCAAAGTGACGAGAGATGTTGGGATTCTGATTCGGATTGGGATTTTTTTTGGGAATTTTATCGGCAGGATGTCTGTTGTCTCTGTTGGATTTTATTGGCAGGATGTCCCTCGTCTCTTGTGGGATATTCGTGTTTGTACCATGTGTGCTGTACTGCTGTGTGCCTCGATTGCTGTGAGAATCCATGACCACTGTGACTACCTGAAGGCGTCTCTACGCGCGAGAGGATCATCAATGTGGATAATCTCGGAGTCTTCAGCAGTACTCCTGTCGATAGAGCAACGTCGGAGAAAGGCGTTGGGGTTGTGGTTGTGAAGAATGAAAGTCTATGCACACTTGGTTGAAACTTGACGATACGTTCATGGGTTTGAGTGTTGTATTGCATGGATTGGGTTCGTGGGGCGACAATCGCGCGCACCTTCCGACGGTTTCGTGAAGCAGCCACTATCGCGTCTCTGCCCATCCCGCCCGGGTTGCTCAGTGCACCCAAAGCAGGGAGCACCAGTCTGCCAATGGGCCGGAGGGATGGGTTGCGGGCATCCCTCGTGCGTATCTGACCATGGAACATCCATCGCATCTCTGCCTGTCTCACCCGAGTTGCTCAGCGCACTCGAAGCAAGGGAGCGCCAGTTGGCCAAATACATGCTCGTTTCCATTCACGTGACCCACGCCTTTCCCCGGCGGAAGACAAAAACGACACGTGGGTTGAGGTCATAATGGCTTACGCTGCCCCATCTACCCAAAAGGTAGGGAACGTCTGCGCATACGGCACAAGACCTACGAGAGACGGGGGTGGCTTCCACGTAAGGGTGATCTATCACGCCCAGGATTCTCGAAGAACTCCAACCCTGGACTGACTTTCAATGCCCGACTGCTCCACAAACGAGAGGTCGCGACATCCGACCGATGGATGTGCCGGAAAAAAGATCTCAGCGACGTGTCCCCAAAATCACCCCATGTTGCGGCATTGGAACCCCTTCCCGATTGTGGAGCAATCGAGCTTTGAATTTCGGCCGAGGTCTCGGCGTTGGCTGCGAACTTTCGGCAATATCACAAGTCCCTGGCCATGAACTGCCGTCTGCCTGCTCGAGTTGACTCGGCTCGAAAGCCCACCACGAAACGCTAAGCACCCCCGTGACTTGTCCTTGAACGCGTCCGCGGACGGAAAACACCGGTCGAACAAACGGCGGGAAAACGGTCAAACCGAGCGCTATCAAATCACCAAAAGTTAAAAATCGGAACCGCCCTGGTGCCCAAGTGCCTGTCGCTCTGGAAACCCTTGATCCGTGCCATACAACTCGCGTGACCCACACGCACAATCCAACATCACAACCCGAAATATCAGCAACACTAAAACTCTAACGGCTATTCCAAGATCTTGTTTCGGCGTCTCATCTTGTCAGCAACACGGTCCGTCACAACACCTAACAGGGAGAAACAATAGAAGAACACAAACCGGCGATGCCCCTGAACGGGACTGAGTACTGCATTCGCGGGGGGGGGGAGGGTAGCAAACCGCAAGAAACACAGAAATCCGG